GATCTTAGGACTATAATAGACCAAGGTTTGTGTTCAGTCAGAGTCAAAACTCAAATTGCACCTTAGGAATGGGTATGGGTATAATAGAGACATAAAGACCCTGATCCATACCTTGAGATCTGCCCACAGTTCTCTCACCATCTCCAAGAGGATAGAAGGGACTCAGAGACAGCATCAGAAAGGATTACAGCAGGGATCAGTCTCTGTCTGATAGATTATTAAATAGATCAGCACTCTCTGTCCTGCAAAAGATGACTGGTGGTGGCGGCTGTAATGCCACAACAGAAGAAAAAAACACGAACCAAAGCAAAGCAAAAAARAAACACAGAGGAAATGACTAGGGAATGATGTTTTTATTTATTTTATTTTCTGATGTAAGGTCTAGGAAAGGACAGGTCTAAAAAAAGCAAAAGGAAACATGTCTGCACACTGTGTACATAACACTGGAACTCTTGTCAGAGATATGGATGTTGGAAGATTTACATTAGTTCAAGCAGCAACTAGATATATCCATAGCAGAGCAATCCATTAGAAGCTATTAGATATAAAGATACTGTGGCCAACTAAGGCTGACTCTGAGTTGCTCATCCCAGATGACTATAAAAAAATTATTGTTATATGCTCACCCTGATCATATATCCTTCCTTAGACATCCACTGTGGGCCACTCTCTGAGGGAAGACAGGACTTTGGTTTGACAAGTTCAGCTTGGCTTTTATTCTTACAYAATGACCTGTGTTATTTGATACCCTTTTCTTAACAGGGATTTGGGCTAACTAACTGCCTCCTTTTTTTCTTTCTTTTTTTTTTTTTAATCAGCTTTTACTACATCTTTGATCCTAACAAGTTGACTGTAGATATATCGATTCAGTTTTAGAAGATATTGGAATTCAAGAAAAGACACTCTCCTTGCAGAAAACAATATTTAAAATATAATGATATTAACAATGAGCTAAGCAATCTGCTGAGAAGTCTCTTTTAAGAAGTACACAACATTCACATTCCAATCATATTCAAGCCTTTTTTTATTTAGTTAAATGAAACAATGTCATTTAAATCAGATGAGAATCCCACAGAATCTCTGGCTGGTCAGTAGTGTAATCCAGTCTGGTGTCGCATCATCATACAGCAGTCCATCTTCTTGCTCATCTTTTCTGGCATAAAAAACGCAATTTTATCTGAGGTGCTTTCTGCTGGAAGGTTCCTGGCTCTGCTGCATTTCTCTCTCACCATCCTTCACGTTTTCCCTTTTTGTGGAAGACTCACTCCAGAGTACATTCCCTTCCTGTAGGATTTTGTGTTTCCCTTCCTGTAGAATTTCCTGTGTAGGAAATGTGGCTCCCATTTTCCAGATGGGAGCCACAGATCATTGCTTTCTAGCAGCTGATAAATTGCCTGTTTGCAGAGGGGAAGGCTTTCTGCAGGCTTTGATTCTGCTTTTTCTGTGTACCTTTCTTTTTGCACTTTTTTTCCATAGACTTGCCTCCATAGCCCAAAATGAGCTCCCGAGCAAAGCGGGTGGCTTGTACTAACTCGGCAGCCTCCATACTTACAGCTTCCCACCCAAATACATCCTCAAGCCCATGCACAGACTGGCTCTGACTGAGTTCTGGGCTAGAGATGCATGCTGTCAAGCTGGATTTTACTATTATGCTCTGTTTTTAAATGCCAGTTGTCATTAAGACTTGGTTTAAGTGGATAGATCAAGCAATAGGAAAGGAGAACCCTTGCAAGGAAACTCCAAGGGCTACCACACACTTAGAGAGGGCTCTTTTGTCCTGAACCAACCTCCCTCCCCAGTCCTGAAGAGCAATGTGCCTCTGTGCGGCAGGCGTATAAATGGTACAGACTGCCTGCGCATCAGTTATAATAGCTTGGCTTCTATTTCCGTTAATCTTAATTGGAAGGAGAAACTGAAATTCACACAGAATCACAGAATGGTTAAGGTTGGAAGGGACCTCTAGAGATCATCTAGTCCAACCCCCCTGCTCCAGCAGGGACACCCAGAGCATGTGGCACAGGGTGGCATCCAGGCACATTTTGAAGACCTCCRGAGAAGGATACTCCACAACCTCTCTGGRCAGCCTGTTCCAGGGCTCTGTCACCCTCACAGAGAAGTTCTTCCTCAYATGGARATGGAACTTCCTGTGTTTCAACTTGTACCCATTGCCCCTTGTCCTGTCAATGGCCACCACTGAGAAGAGCTTGTCCCCTTCCTCCCTACATKCCCTCTTCATCAACTTATACGTGTTAATCAGATCCCCTCTCAGCCTTCTCTTCTCYGGAGAAAACAGGCCCAACTCGCTCAGTCTCTCCTCATATGAGAGACGTTCCAGTCCCTTAATCATCTTGGTTGCCCTTCGCTGGACCCTCTCCAGAAGCTCCACATCCCTCGTACTGAGGAGCCCAGAACTGCCCCCAGTGCTCCAGGTGCAGCCTCATCAGAGCTGAGCCGAGGAGCAGGATTCCCTCCCTTGACGTGCTGGCAACATCCTCCTGATGCAGCCAGGATCCCATTGGCCTTCTTAGCCACGAGGGCACTCTACTGACTCATGGGTAACTTGGTGTCCACCAGGACTCCCAGGTCCCTCTCTGCAGAGCTGCTCTCCAGCACGTCAGCCCCTAATCTGTGCTGGTGCCTGGAATTATTCCTTCCCAGGTGCAGGACCCTACACTTGTCCTTGTTGAACCTCAGGAGGTTCCTCTCTGCCCAACTCTGCAGCCTGTCCAGGTCCCTCTGGATGGCAGCACAGCCCCTCRGAGTGTCGGCCACTCCACCCAGCTTGGGATGATCCGCAAACTTGCTCAGGGTGCCCTCTGTGCCCTCGTCCAGGTCATTGATGAACAATTTGAACAGCACCRGGCCCAGTACTGACTCCTGGGGGACACCACTGGCCACAGGCCTTCAACTGGACTCGGCCCCATTTATCACCACCCTCTGAGCTCTGCCATCCAGCCAGTTCTCAATAAGTTTTCCTTATGGAGTTGGAAAATGCATCTGATAAAGCAAAGTAAACAGCAAACTTGATTCTGCCCTGGACTGTGTGTAGGTATGGGTGTAGGTATGGGTAACTCCTACTGTGCACAGGATAAACAAATTGTTTATTCAGGGAGTGATAGGTCTGATGCAGTTAGAGAAAATTCTAAAAGGAATAGAGCCAGAACAACCACTTTTGGTTGTTGATGTGCCAAGCATCACATTAATATGAGAGGCTTTAAAAGGTACTGGGATGTGCCTGTTGTTGGGAAACTTTGGGTGCCCTGATCTAACAGACAGGGACTGGGATAGGAGACAGAGTGTGAGAATAGAAGCTTTGGCTCTGGTGCTAAGGTTCCCACTTAACCCAGCACAAGCAGGTACTTGCCACAGCCTCTAAGACTGCTGCCATGGCAGGATGGGCACAGGGGCTGCCTGAGGTATGGAGGGCAGCCCAGATGTCTCCAGAGCAGACTCTCCATGCCTCATTTCTTTCCTCATGGTTCTGAGTGTATCCCACCCAATTCTGACTCAGCTATTTACCTTGACCCCTGTGTCAAGGCAGTCCCTGTTTTAGTCCTACTGTTCTAATCAGTGGGCATGATGGTTGTCCATGTGGACCCTTCACCCTTCCATGGATGGTTTAATAGACCTGGTAGGTCTAATACTGCTTGGCAGATATTCAAGAGCTGGTTAATGGCTGAAGCCATTAACCTCTCTTGAAATTTGTTCATCTTTTTGAAAATGATATGAAAATTTGAAGTGACAGAGGAGATCTCCTTTTTAGAAACCTCTAGTAAAGGAATGAAGGGACTGTAAATATGTAGTAGTCACACTGTTGGTGATATAAATGTTGTCAGTGTCAGGATATAAATAATATGGGTAGATCATACCCATATGAGGGGGAATATCTTCAAGGAGATAAAGCATTCAGCAGGAAAAAAAGCAGAGGCTTTTGAGCACCCATCTCTTGGTGATGTGAAGAAAGGCTTGTGATCCTGAAAGCTGGACCATTTTTCTAACCTGTATCAGTTAGTCTAGATGTTTCTCTTCCTAGAAGCCTTTGTCTTGCCTACGGAAACCCTTTGTTTTAGGCTGTAGGTTTAACTGAGTCACTCAGAGACAAGTTTTGCAGTGAAATCCTGCAGAGTTCCATTTCATTTCCTGTCATTTCATTCATTTCCTGTCAGTTTCTTTTCTACTTTACATACTTGGAAAGTTGTCTGGAAGAAAATCTGAATTTGAAAAAGCATCTGAATCCCAGGAAGCATCAATGATGTTGACTGAATTCTTCTTAGCATAGACTAGAGATGACTGTCTTCAAATGCTGAGTTCCTCTTTGGTCTTTTCAGGTAGCCCCATTACAGCAGGACTCAGAAAAAGGGTAGGGCGAGATGGTGCCATTCCTGGTTATGCTGGACTTGTTCTTGGAACAAATTGAGGGCATTTGCTTCTGAAAAACTCTTTTCTTCCAGAGACATGGAGTATCTTCCTAGCACTGAAATGTCCCCTTCTGTGTCCCGGATCTTGATGTATACTGTGATGCACTTAGCTATCTGCCACAGTGACTCCATGGCTCTGCAGCACACCCTCTGGGCTTTCTAATCTACTGCCTGCCAATGAAAGTTTGCATGATGTGTAGGGGCGGGGGGCAAGGGGGTCGGGGGAAGGGGTGCTTTTCCATACATAGACACAAAAATGACAAATTTCTTTTGACATGTTGATTACCTGGAGGAGGATATGTTCTGAACTCCTCTCTTGCTCATCTACTTTTGCTGGGCACAGAGAGGTCCAGTTCCAGGACCTGAAGAGCTGAACGCTCATCTAAAGGCACAGGTKGAGATGTGTAACTTGAGGGCTTTTACTTTGGTTAATGAACTACCTGAAACCAGAATTACCCAACAAAGGAAGTAACGATATATCTTTCTTATATATATGTGTGTGTATGTTTTTTGTTTGTTTTCTTGTTTTTTTGTTTGTTTTTCTTTTTTGTTTGTTTGTTTGTTTGTTTGTTTTCTCTGCAGTAACTACAACTCTCTCCTCCTGGTCTGGGCATGCTAGAAAATGCAACGAAACAGCCAAGTCCTATTGCGTCAATGGCGGGGTATGCTACTACATCGAAGGGATTAATCAGCTGTCTTGCAAGTAAGTGAGTGYAGTTCTTGTATCAACATGCAAATGGTTTGACTGGGCGAGAGGATATCTCTGTGCAATTGCAGGAGGAGGGTGGCTCTGAAGGTCTCTYGGCATTTGCAGTTTAGGCTGTGCAGGTTTAGAGAGGGAATCTAGAGGGGTGGGGGAAGGGGAGAAGATTCATGGTTTCCTTCTTTGTGTGTGAATGCCACAGTCCACTTTTCCTGACTTTCCTCTGAGAAGATGTTTTTGTCTTGCTGTTTCCTTTCGCTCTTTACTTTCTCCTCGGCAGTGTCAGGGGCGATTGTGAGCCTGCATTTTCCTCTTGCTCTCCTCAAGCTGGTTCAAAGCTCCATGTTTCCAGAGGACGTGTATCCCCTCAGAGCAGAGGGGCTTTCTGTGGTGCGCATCCACCTACCTTCACTATAACCATGAGGAGTTCTTTGCTGAGACTTGCTTCTTACCTCTCCTTTCTCCACTTCACAGGCCCAGGACTGGATTTAGAATACAGCTGCTCATCACTCCATGCTTGCCTTCATGGCAGGCAACATTTTTTTCAGTGCCCCTCTCAAATGTTAGAACCTGGGGGGAAAAAAAAAAAAAAAAAAGATAAAAAGATGGAGACATGTTAAGTCATCCTTAAAATGCAGTTTCTTAGAGATTTTAAAGTGGAACTGCGTAGTATGTGGGCTAAGATGTGAGAGCCTTTCACCTTTGGTTCAAATTGTCACAACCTAAAAGTCCAGTAGCCTCTCATGGCTCTCCCTCCATATCTAGTGTGGGATGTGGATGAAAAGCGTAGTCTAATTGCTACTGATAGAGCCATATGTACCTAGGCCCACATATCTGTTCTGGTCTCTGAGCTTGCGCAGAGTGAGCCACTGGAGCCATGTGAGATGCTTCCCTGGACAACGGAAGGGCCTGTTTGGACCCAGCCAGTGTAGCAATGTGAGGCAGTGCCCAGCCATGCTAGGGAACTCAGAAGTTTCACCAAGTGAATGCAGTTCGTACCTGAGGTCACCTGAAGATCCAGGCATCAATATGCCCATAACATGTAAGCCTGGAGTGGAATGTTTGCTTCCTGCCTGGCCCAAAACCATCTCTGCTGAGGGGTACTGCCGTGGATATCAACCAACCCCACTACTACTACTGTTGTGTGGTGTGATGTTCACTGAACATTTCAGCTCCTCAGGCCTCGTAGGATGTAAYGTAACATGAACCACCACTCCTCCTGTCCAAGGGTTTCTGGACTTCAGAAGGCAGTAGTTAATCATTGAGGAAAGTAGAAGTATAAGAGCTGATAATTTAAACATCACACTTTCCATAAAATGAGTTTCCCAATAAAATGGAAGACTTGAGATGAAGGCTGACAATGGATAATCTGTCTGCAGATATGTCTCTCTACAAACTGGAAACATRCTGAAAGGTTTCACCAAGACAGGAGATCTGCGACTGCAGTATGTGTAAAAGGCAAAGATACAGATTCAGAGGAGCACCTAGAGGAGGAAGCGAAAATGCGGAGTTTCACAAACCCATATTCAAACCCTGTATTTCACAAACCCGTAAAATGATAGCCAAACTTCTTCCGCCAGCAATCCCTGCCTTAGAGACATGGACCATAAAGGACATTCTTTCTGCACACAGGCTCTTCAAATGCTTTGGGGCCAGAGACTGAGTGAGAGCCACAAGAACATCTTGAGCAAGGAAAGACATATAAAACCATACATTGTTCCTACTTCACTGTTCCTGGTTAAGGTCAGCAGAAGTTTGAAGGCCTCTTTCCTCTGCTTCCCATCTTCCAATCTTCCTTCACTGCGTACAAAGAGATTCTAGCATTCTGGGCACCAGTGCATTGATACCACTGTTTTCTATATTCTTCTGAATACCAATTACCAGAAAACAAAGCGTTAGACCTTGCTTCTTATTCCCTACCTGCTATCATCCTGTAATCACCTTCCTGAACTGGATTTCATTGTTTCCAGCTGTCACAAGCATAGGAGGTTCTTTCTGTACATGCTATCCCTGGCACTGTGGAGTAAAAAGGGCAGCTGTACTCTCAGATGATTTGTTTTCCTGAAGTGGCTCATACTTGATTTGTTAAGGATATTGCCTAAACTGGCAGCTGGTCTTTTATTATTATACCCCAGCAATTTGTTCTTTTTGATCTTTTAAATTCTGGAGAATAAACAACTGCTCAACTTTTGCCTGCAAACCACTGTCTCAATTCCTGCTCAATATAGTTCCTTTAGACTTTGGACAATGCAGTTTCATCACCAGAGAAAAGTTCAAAATAGATTCGGAACTGTTCCAGAAGGCATGTCCTGTTTTGGAGTGTGCTTGCATAATTTTGATTTTAATTTGAAGTAAATTCTATACGTGCTAGTTACAAAGGAAACTTGGATATGATACAATCTCTCCTGTCATCCTAACTTTACAAACAGACCACCTGGAAATTTGATGGGAGAAGAGTGATCTGCATCAGATATATCGCACACTTTCAGCATAAACCCAGAAAACTACTGAACCACACACATACAGAATTGACTCAACAGCATTAGTAAATTAAAGAGCCTGAGGCTTTGTTGACAGGAAGATTTTCTCAACTTTTCTCCAGACTGTTTTCCTCAGAGAGGCCTTACAAGTGGGGAAGCTGTGTGTTGGGTAGAGTGAATTTCAGAGTTTGCAGGAGGAACACACACAACCAAGCTGCAAGGCGTTTGAATTGAGCTTGGATGTGCAAGAGACWTGAGTGGTTTGTTTCCAGTTGCATCTAGTGCTTGGGCAGTTAGTAGCATCTGATCTCTCTCTGAGCTTGTCCTTGATCCTAGATCCTGTTGAGTTCTCAGCACTTAAAAGTGCTCTAATCTGTTATTGCCTGATGTCAGGCCCCACACAGTTGTGCTAACACGTGTGTCAAAGCATTAATGCTCTTTTTTCTCAGTTAGATGTTGGCAATCATCATCCATGATTGATATCTTCTTAGCCGAATATAAAAAAAGGCTAAGTGTCATTGTTGCAGTCCTTCTCTGCCGACCTAAACGTTCTTGTGACACTTTTATAAGCTTGATCAAAAGTAGCTGGTGGACTGGCCAGGATCTTGCTAATTGAACTGAATCAGAATACTTAAAGAGGTTTATAGAGCAAGTTCCCCAGCATTTGGGATAGGCTGTGCTTAAAATATTTACAGCTGCTGACAGGTAAACCAGATCCCCTGGATTTTGTCTCCAGAGGATCTCAGACAAAAAGTGAAAAGCAAGAAAAGATTAACAAACGAACAAAAAAAAAATAGAAGCCCACTTTTGTTCCCAACATATATTGTTTCCCTCAGATTTCCACAGAAATGAGGAAAGAGGAGTCAGCCACGTTTCCAGCTCCCTTATACTTTCTCAGAGCAGCAGGCTGATCAGGAGCATTGGGCTGATCTTCCCTGCATCACAAGTTGTTCATGCTCATGGCTCAGCTCCTCTATGGTACTAGAATCTGTGCCATCCTCACTGACTTTACTGACTTGACCAGCATAAGGCATACGTTACACAGCCACAGAAATGTCCCTTTGGCATGGATRTATTAGTTTTATTAAGGGGAGTTGCAAATTCTCTGAAAATTAAAATCCTCCCTGAGACTGCAACACCTCATTCTAAGTACCTGAATTGATGGTCAAAATTATTTACAGAAGATTTCTCTCTCCTAATATGTAGAAACCTGAAAGTTAGAAGTCTACTCTAAATTAAGTGTTTGGCACAACCTGGTATCAGTAGAGAAAGACTGACATGCTTGTTGTATCCCATGGCATATAATCATGGAAGGCAAGGGAGCAGTTTTACAAACTGATGCTTTCAGGAGATGTTGGTAACAGTGAGCTGCTAGTGGTATTCAGATGATCCTGAGACACTCTGGGCTAAAGAGCTACTGTTGAATCAGAGGTGAAAATCTCCACATCCTTTTCCATAYCTCATGGACCAATGAGGACTAGTTCATTGGGTTTTGCATGCCATTTATCTTGGATGATGAGCTCAGCTTCCTTTTGGGGGTTCAAGTGGCCCTTCTGTGCATCCTGTTCACTAAATTGTGTGTAATGTGCATATCAGAATGGTAAATCATTGAGAAATGTATGAATGTGGAAGATGATCCTGCAACAGTTAAGCTCAGTTGGAGCTGTTCTTTGAACCTAGAAGTGGTTCTCCCTGCAGTTTGGACTCCACTGTACAGCAAATGTTCCTTCATTACCTGCCCTGAATAAGACTTCTGCATTTATTCTAGTTACTTTCTTTTCTTTCCATTAGCAGTTTTGTGGAGTTCAACCTGTTGTGGCTCTCCAGTGCCTGATCATCTGGGACTGGCCAGGGGACAATGACAGAACAGTCTTCTTTTTTCAAGCCTTTGCACAAAAAAGCAACATGCCTGAAACATTTCTTCATTTGCTTCTTTCAGTGCGTTGTGTCTTTCTGCTAAAGATTCTTATCCTGCTATACTGAAGCACCTGCTTTTCTGTATTCTTCTTTACCATGAGTTACATTACAAAAGCTACCTAATTTGGCGTAATTTAGTTTAGATATGGGGGAGCAAAGGAAACTTGATATCCCTTGTAAGATTGAAATCAAGAGCTGGACAGAAGACAGAAAAAGTTTTTCTTCCATAAAAAATATAATAATAATGCTATTATTGAATGGTAACAAAGAATAATTAATCATTTTTATTATTCTGCCATGCTTCAGGACAAGAAGCCAAAGTTTATAAGCTTCTCTGTTTTTATAAATAAGTACTCCACAAAGAGCATAGAAATAGATTATCCAAACCATTTTAGTTTTTGTGTAGTTTCTGAGATACTTTATTTTGCTCATCATATTATTGCATTTTTTTTCTTTTTTGCTTATTTAACTGCAATTCATTCTGTGCCTAAAAGAGCATTTTTGAAGTGTGAGGGGAAAAGGGCTGAAGAAATTGGTCAAAAATGAAGGAATCAAGCGTTTTCTAACAACAACATATTTGATAGAAAAATTACAGATGAGTTTCATCAGTGGTATTTGCAATTAGCTTGTTAGGTACAGAGGGATGGAGTCAAACAAGGACAAGTTTGACTATTATTCTCACAGTCTAGGGAATGGACAAGGTGGAATTTTCATAAGCTTGGTGCTGACAGGAGTTTCCATAGGACTGCCCATGCAGACACAGCTTTGCCCACTTCCCTTGAACTTTGAAGAGAACCATGTTGGGCCTCCATGAGACCAGCTGACGGACGTGGGAATCCATAGGTGATATTTGCGGGAAGAGTCTATCTTCCATGCAGACCCTACAAGATTTGCAGTTTCCTCTGATTCTTTCAAAGGGAAGGACTCTGACTGGGACAGTTAGTCAAAGCCATTTGAGCAAGGATCAGGTATACAGTAAAATGGACATCACGATCAAAGATCACCTCCTGACTAGTGATGGATTTATCAAGTGTTAAATATCAGATATTTCTCAGGCCAYAGGCTTGCCCACTGAAAAAGTCTTGCCCACAAGCCCATACCACAGGTGGCAGATCCTGAGAGTAGAAGGACTGCTTTTTCTCTACTCCTGCTGTCCAAAATGAGAGACTTGTGTGTTGAGCATGTTGGTAATACATTTTCTAGAAGTCACATCTGGAGATATAGCAATAACAATTGCTCTTCATCTTCACTACTGTAAGGCTATGAGAGCCCTACAAAAACGAGCCATGAGCACTGCATGCTTTCAAAAGCCTCTTGGTTGCTGGCAGCCTTGCTTCCTAGGAATCAGAGCCTAAGATGACCRTGATGGCATATATGGCTTCTCAGTGGACGCACAGATCAAACCTTCTGCATGTAAGCGCTTAGCAAGGGTGTCTTGTCAGCTTGTGTGCTTGCTTGGGAGGTCATAGAAGGTGCTCRTGTTCTTTGCTGTCACTTTTCCCAACGCCGATTCACTAGTAACTAAAGATGGAAAACCTGAGCTATCCTAAACACATGAAAGACTGTAACCTGCTGCCTTCAGTCTAGAAAGTCTTTCTCCTTTCACAGAGTAGGCAGACTGCAGAGATCTGAGCATGGACTATATGGTGGCTGTCACAGCATCAAAGCTTCTCTGACACTCTTCGGTTTTTGTTTTTAATTTCTGAAAAATTTATTTTTCTGACTTTTGTTTCTCTTCACCACCTCAAATTTTTCAGTCTTTCCTTAATGGCATGCAGCTGCAGTCACAGTCAAGTTCCAGCTTTGGCCCACATTCTGCAGATGTGTGACTGAGACAGATTTAGCTGCTTTCTTTCAGACAGAGCATCTCTTTCCTTAGGTGGGTAGGATATTTGCTTCATCCAGCAAGACCCTCGAGGTCCTTTGGTATGCTCACAAAACACATGTGAACTCAGATCCCAGACAAATGGGCTGCACATTGCAGGCTAAGCTGGATGTCCTTGAAGATACTACTAATGACTTCATAAATACTCATGACTCTGAAGTTGGTGATAGATGAACTTCAAAAGGGAGTAGAAAGACACCTTTTGCTTTGGGTATTTTGTTCAAATTGTTCAAATATGAGTGATTTCTTTTAAGTTATGCTTGCCTGGAGCTGTCCCAGCTACCTCAATCTTGTTCTCTTTGGTTGCCAACAGAGGCATTTTTCTTCCCTCCATTTCCCAGCCTCAGCTTTCTCTGCTTAGTCACAGGGAAGGTCTGCAGACCACACGTCTAATGGCAAACCTTTTGTTGGACTTGGTGGATGGCTGGGGACTAAAATGACATTATTGGTATGTGTCTCTTTGCTGTGCCCCAAAATGAATATCCAACAGTTAGTAAAGACAGTATTTTTTTTTCAGATCTGTTTGCATGACCAGGATGTCAAATTTCTAGTTTCAAAGTGACTCGAACCTTGAGGAGACTAACTGAAATATTAGAAAGTGCAATGAAGCACTGAGCAGAGCCATGCCATCAAGCTCTCTCTGAGCTTGTTTGTGGTGTGAAAATAACACAGCGCATTCCCACATTGAGGGATAAGTATAGATGCCAGTAAACAGTTTAGCACAAAAGGCAAGATTGGTTTTATGCAGTGATGGTGTTTGTGCACCACTTTCTTTGCTCAGTGCAGATCATGAGTTCAAACCAGCAAGAAATGAATGCTAGAACTGCTTCAGTCATGCACGTTTTTCAAAGATTTTTCCTGTGATGATGACAGGTGTAAAGTCCCTGAATGGCACCTTGCACTGAAGAGCTGGAAAACGTGTTCCTCAAGGAAAAGATGAACATGGACAGAGAGAGTGTTGAAGCTGTAGAGGGAGAGAGTATAGCAGATGGGATAGAGAGATCRTGCAGCCTTTATTTGAATAATTATACTTCTTCTAGGATTGTGATGGATTGGAGTTCATCTGTAGCCCAGATCAGTTTATGTTTCAGCCGTAATGAGGAAGATTTCTACTCTGATTTCTACCTTTCCTCTCCAAAGCAACTAACCAGTTGCTGGAAACCCTGCCAGTGTTCCCTTACACAGGTAGAGAGAAGCAGAAATTCATCTCTCGACTTTTTATGTTGCCATGGAAATTGCATATCCATAAAATGCCATCTTAACATAAATCTGACAAGAGCAACAAATGCTGCCGTAGTCCTTGAGCAGCGGTACAGAATTAATCTGCCAGATTGCTTTTGAACTGCGTAGCTTTGATCATATAAAACATTGCTGAGTTCAAAACCATCACTTTCTTCTTCCTGTACATATGTCCGTAGACTGAGAGCAGGCATTGGCATACACTGTGGAAGACAGGAATGTGTCAGATTGGCACCACTAATGCAGCAAATAAAAATACATATGAGGGAGGTATTAAAGTGCACAGAATTCATGGAGTATCTCTAAAAGGTAGCATGACCATTGACGGGTAGGAGCGAAGTTGTTTTTGGTGGGATTGAACAGATGTCAGGGAAGTTACCTCAGGAGGTAGCTGCTCCACTGTTCAAATCCCTAAACCTCAGTGTGCTCTTCCTGCTGTGAGTGTAGCACAAGGACAGCCCACACAAGGTTGATAGTGARTACATAGGACTTGGGCATGCTCTACATACCCAACTGCACGTGCTAATTGGCGTTAGGCGGGTGACACTGTCCCGAGGCTGCTCTGACTCTCTGCTGCCRTGAAGATATGACCTGCATGATGTGAAATACAGAGTTTGCAGCCCAGCTTGCCCTGGGAAGTTGGAAGACAGATGTCACAACTGTGGCTGTTGTGATAAATCTCTCTTGTGAGGGATACAGTTGCAGGAAAAGTAGGTAGAGCTAGTACTTGAAGAAAGATATATATTTTTTTTCCTTTTCCTTTTCAATTCCTTTGAGGAATTGCCTAGAGAAACCAGGAGAAAGAATGGAAAGGGAGAGAAGGACCTCAGTATCCTGTGGAGAAAGATAGATTTCTCCATTCACAACTGAATGCCCATCTCAAACTTTTTGAAGTTCATCCACTTCTGCTGTGAATCAGAATTTGTGGCATGCATGGATGAAGCCATACACTCTTTCTGGACTCGTGCTGCATCAGTGAGCACAGGTTTGGGGGATTCAGCAGCTTCCCTGTGTACCTTTGTTTATGCCCCTGAGCTCCATGAGTCAGGCACAGTCTGGGAGCTGTTCTGTGAATCTCACTCATGAGAGACTCACAGATACTGTGTGGTCYTGATCCCCAAGGCACAATCCCTGTCGCAGCAGCTTGACACTCATGCATAACTGGTACCCGATGAGCTAGCACATCCCAAATTCCAAAATAACTTAATTGGGGCAGCTGAGTAGCATGGGAGACTTGTTTAATTTCAGTTTTCTTCTCTGTCCCTTCCTCTCTGTTAACACAGACACTYCGCACATGCTTCTCTCTAACAACAATACAACAGTTTTCCCTGGAACGTCCTGCAGATCACTGTAGGGATAATAACTTTAAGAAGCTTGCTGCACACAACTGCTCACTGTCGCCTCAGCAGCTGCTCATCACTCTGCAATGCTTCTTGCCTCTCTACATAGTGCCTCCTAGGAGAGTCTCTGCAAGTAGTGTCCAGCCCATGTCACTCTTTCTGTCTGGTGCTTCTAGCAGGTGAGAAGGAAGGAGGTAGGCAGAAGAGGAGAGGAGGGGTTTTACTGGCTGCTTGAAGACCCAGACAAGAAATAGAGCCAGAATATTAACATTACAGGTTAAATGAAGCACAGAGTAAATATGCATATGAAACTTTTAACTTTATTTTTTTTTCCATTCATCACAATGCACTTTTAATTTCTGACCTTAGCCTCAAGAACGGTGCCAGACTTGTTCTGTGATTTCTCCCCTTTTCCCCCTCCAGATGTCCAAATGGATTCTTCGGACAGAGATGTTTGGAGAAACTGCCTTTGCGATTGTACATGCCAGATCCTAAGCAAAGTATGTTTGAAGACAAAAAATGCACCACACTCCTTAAAACCTCCTGGGCACAGCGTTGGATGTAGAGTGGTCTAGTCAGGGATGGCTTTTGGTATCAGCTTTGGGCTAGGGCTTAGGGACGCAGGTAAGGGCATAGGCTGAAAGCAGATGGATAGGCGTCATGGAAGGGATCAGAAGGGGCCTCGATTCAGTCTGTTTGGATGTCATTTTGCTATCTTGTTTCTCCCTTTCTGGTTTTCTTTCTTCCGGTAGGTGTCCGATCGAATTCACAGGAGACCGGTGTCAGCATTTCGCAATGGTCAGCTTCTCCAGTATGTCTCTTTCTACTTCTCTCTTTCCCTGGTTGTTGTAGCTCTGTGTGATATCCTTAAAGCAGGTTCTTCTGTTCCCCAAGAGCCCTGTTTCTGTCTTGTGCACTCCCAGCTCTGCTTGACCTTAAGGGGAGCTGTGGCGGTCGCCAAGATGAGAATTGGGGCTCTTGTTATTGAACTATGTGTTAGAATGGGTTCTGCTTTCATTTGCAATTGAACACAATGTTTCTTTCATGCAAAATACAAATGAGGCACAAGGTTAAGGGAGGGATTGTATGAGAATGGCCTATCTAACAAGCTGTGTCTGCTATCTTTCCTGTCTCAAGATGSACACTGTTGTGCCATGCAAGAGATTTGCAGTTTCCTCTGATTCTTGCACAGGGGATGAGTGAGTATCTCTGTACCAACTGGGGAATTGCAGCTAGGGCTGTCCTGAAATTTCCTTTGAAGTGTAATTTTGTTCCCACTTCCAGAGTCTGAACCACTCTGTACAAGTGAAGTTTTTGAAAGTTTCCTTGGAGTCACCTGGAGCACTTTTAGAGGCTGGGACTGGACATATGGTGCATGTGTGGAGCCCCGGAGATGCTTCAGGAGGCAACCAGTGTTTCAGAGTCTTCCTCCCCTTTTTGCCCTGGACCATCCAGGCAAAATCTGGATGGAATCTCAGATTGCATCCCTCCTAGGCATAGAAGTGTTCCCGTCTCCTCTGGGGAAGTAGAACAGCCATCCTTATGGGATTACACCTAACTTTGGTAAATGTGGCGCCCCTGTGTTTACTGTTTTCTAGTATCTAGTTCACAGGAGCTTTAGGTCTTCAGGTATGCTTTGCTTCTAGGAGATGCTTGCTCCAAGGGAGATAATTTTTGCCAGGTCAGTATTTAGACAGGGTCCCGGCATCAGAGGCATCCTTGTGCAGGTAAGGAATAAGGCAAAGCAAGGCACAGCAATCTGTCTGCAGTTACAGCAGAGGAGATCAGCCACAGTGATCATCTGTGTGCACACTGTCTCCAAGCTGGTCGCCTGAATTACTGCCAGTAATGCAGAAAGAGCCTTTAATTAGTGGGAACCTGAGGAGAAAGCCCACTTTCCTATTCCATGAGACCTCTGTGCATGCCAGTCTCCCCCCTCTCCTATCCCTATTTGAATTCTGYAGTATCTCATACAGAACGCCGATAGCAAGAGTCCTGTTATCACAGGCTAATGCCTTGCAAGAGCTGTAAAATTCACCTCTGCAGTATATACAAACAAGATGCAAGTGGGCTTTGTGAGCCCTTGAAAAAGCCTGATGTTTTTATATTGGTTTTTGTTCCAAATTGTCTTTCAAAGTTGAAATCTCAATTGACTTGTTCTTTCAGGCTAAAACTTCCAAATGAGCTTCTTTTTAAAGTGACAAAACAAAATATTAGGTTTTGATCTCTTAGCCTAATATAAAGAGTTTCCTTTCCATTCTGTGCTCCAAGGTGTCACAAAGCTTTGGCAGGCTCGCCATGCACTGTGCCACTCAGTTGAAGCTGACTTTGGTGTGTCTTGTGAGGCAGTCTYCAAAAGGTTCAAACATTATTACTAACATGCCACAAAACCAAAAGAAGAGTGAAGATTACTTTTTTTATTTTTTGTCAGRAGAGTGTTTATCAGATCTTTAATAGCAAGAGTAAATAGTATGTGGGKTTTTTTTCCCTCCAGCCTGCAGAGTTCAGCTTTATATGGATTGAGGTTTGTTTAAATTATATTCATATGTTAGTGGAACAATGTCAGCTTTAAAACAAATGTATGTGTGTCTTCTTACCTCAATTACTGGTTTAACCACAGGATAGTAAGGTAATACATCTTAACAATCCAGGTTACCTGTCTGAACTTGGATAAAAATAATTTAAGATGATTCATATCTGTTTATAGCTGTTTTCACTTCCAAGTCACAGCTGGGTAACATTTGTAACAGCAACATTGCACAAAAGCATGCACAGGGCTTCCCTGTGTCTTCTAAATAGAAAATACGCTTCCCTGGAGTCTGCTTTGTGTCTTTAATTGATGATTAGAAGCGAGTGCTGTCTCTATGATTCTCTATCTGCTTCATCCCATATGGGTTCTGGCTGGTCAAAAGCTGAAACAGACTAAATCATTTATTCCTATGGCAAATATAATAGCTCTGTCCTGATTCATGTTTCAAGAACAATGTCAGTCTAACAAATACCTGAAGAGTGAACAGTGACAGCTACCCTGGTGTTGTTTGTTGGCATTTGGGGTAATTTAGGTTTTCAGGCCTRGATTGGCCTTTTTGGTTGTGGAACATAAGTGCTAACTAGCACATCATGGCTATCAGCAGGGATATCCAGGGGCTGAGGGTGAGGCTCTTCAAAGAGAACTGAATTTAAGATGGGTTCTGTTAGGATATGGCAGATATCTTGCTGAATATTGGCAAATGGTAGAGATAGTTGTATTCTTCCCACCATCGTGCCAAATGTTGAATGCTTTCTAGCAGCAACTTCTTGTCTCACTAGTTTAAATCGTTACTCTGTCTGCTTGCATCTTGTTCAGGTAAAACTCTGGGGGTTCAGAGTCTCACTGTGTGTCTGGCAGGTAGCACTGGAAGTGTTCTTCTCTGAGTGACAGAAATGCCTGCTAGACCACTATGATTATGAGAAAAAAAGCAGATGTACTTAGATTGTTTTTGTCATGTGGGAACTTTCTCTGTGTTGCTGTTAAAATCATATGGCTGGTGGCTATTGTCAGATATTTCAGGTATATACCCTACTGCTTGAAAAAGAAAAAAAATGTTAAAGAGGACTTTTTTTTTCCCCTGGCTGTGTTTTTACTGCTGTGATTTTCTCCCAGATTGGTACAGAGGAACTCACTGGGAACTGTATTATTGTGCTAGTTTGGAGACCTTGCAGTCTGTCCCGACTCAGCCCTTGTTTGGGTGAACAGCACTTCACTTTGGCATGAAGTTGCATGAGCAGAATTCAAGCAAGAATCTCAGCAGTTCAGTCTTATGTGAATATACAGAGTTTACATTTTACTTTGCTTGTAGTATAATGCATATATAATGTGAAATGTGTTGAGATAGTGGAGCAAAAATGTGAAGCATGCTAAAACACCTACTAATTTGAGGAAATGGATGCACACTGCAAACAGACAACATTGCTCTGGCCTAGCAAGGTACAGCTTCTATCAGAGCTGTGATACCTGACTATGTCAGCTCTTTAATGCTTTAATGCTAAGTCTGCATTAGTTTAAGCCATCATGATGGTCTCCCAGCAAGACTCATAGCACAGGGATGTCTGAGGGACACCTTCTCTTTTCCGCTGCGGTGGCTTCGTGTGCGCACTCAGTTGGCTACCATTAGTCATCTGACAGGCAGGAACATGCTGAGCTGCAGCAGCACAGTTATGAGCCTTTGAGATCTAACCAGTGCTAATCACACATCCAATAAAAATGGGCATTCTGACAGAGGAACTTAAGGGGTGTTTGGCTTATCACGGGTCTGTTTCACTAGCATGTGATAGAAGGCTTCCCCACATTCATAAAAATAGAAAACTCAAAAGAAGAGCAAAGGAGAGATGCCAAAAGAAAAGAACTTCATATTCACTGAGAGTAAATTAGCTGAAAGTAAAACTCGACCTGACACTCTATTAAGCCTAGCTTGGTCCCTTGTATCGGTACGAAATGCCACTGACCACACCAAGTCTCTGTACATTCCACTATCCACCCAAGAAGACCTGTCTGATTAGAATTGGAAAATAAAGTTCTCTGGACTTTAAATAACCTGTGAGATGAAAGAGTTACACTATAGAGACTGTAAAATATAACTGAGAAGCATTTAAGAAACATTTAAAGCAGTTTTAATTTAGACTGAAGGAGAATTAATGTCAGTGAACAAAACAGTGTTTGYCTGTAAATACTGCATAAAACAGAGACTGTTCTGGTAGATGAGAATATAGGAAACTATCTTCATGACTTGTGAACCATTAAATCAACATACTACATTTTTTTTTTCACATCAAGCACAGTGTGTTTCTCTGTCTTGGCACAGATTTACTTAATATATTAGCAGAGTGCATATATGATGGTAGATGGACATTGAATCCCAGAAAAGGTGATGTGTGCAGCTACAATCATATCCTCTGCTAGTTTGCAGAGCTTAGATCTTATAACTCCATTGTAATCAGAGGTCTGTGTGATCATAGAGCCAAAACAGGGTCTTAAAGCAGAAATGTTTCCTGACCCCAGCTATTGTGCCTTTCTTCTGGCTGAGAACACACACATGTGTTCATGACTTCATAGTCACAGCCTAGAGAATGGCATCCCAACAAGAGAATTCAGCTAATCCACCCCCAGGGCTGCATCAGGATGAGATTTCTCACCTTTCAGAGATGCTGAGGGAGATGAGAATGGWTTTGAAGGTTCAGACATCAGATATCTCTCCTCGAGTTGCTGAAGATTTCCCAGCCCCGCAGTGCAGGTATGCACAGAGTGAGTCAGATCAGAGGCATCTCTCTCAGGCTATCCACTAATGGGAGCAGAAGTTGGATGCACTGGACTGTTGACCCACAGCCTAAATGAACACACAGCACTGCTATCTAGGGATTCTTTTCCAACCCAAGTGGCTACAGTTTCCACTCTGAAATTGGAAGTTCTGACCTTCAAGCCCAAATTCTTCTCTCAGGTATGATTATCCAGCTTCTAAAGACACCAAAGCAATGCCTGGAGCCAGTGGACCTTTAGTACAAGGGAATTCTTCCTATGGGCGGTAGTTGGATTTACACCGAAACCTGATTCGTGTAAAGGAAAATCCATTAAAAATGTCTTTTTTAAGTCTAATACAGTCCTTAGCTATACTCCAGCCTCAGTTTTAATTTTGGTGAACTGCAGATTGTCTCTGCCCATAGCAGAATGTTACCTATGGTATCAGCCCCTGATTCAATTTTTTAAGCAACTGGAAGCAGATATTTTTCATTGCTTTCTTGTCTATTTCTTTTGCAATACAGCTTCCCTGAAGACCA